TAAGTAATAGAGCTATATTACATTGCTTTCATAAGGATAATTAATTGTAAAAGTAGTAAAAATTTAACTCTGCATTTGCAAAAATCCCTAATTGAAACACACCTAATAGGTTGCTAAAAGAGCCACATTAGATTGCTATTAATGACTTAAATAATTGTTAATACAACAAAATTTTAATGCTGCATTTGCAATAATCCCTAACTCCAGTATTCATAATATATAGGCATTAGACCCAAATTACATTACCATAAATAAAATAAATAATTATAAGAATTGTAAAACTTTAAATATATAATTGCAAAATCACTAACTGTAACACTAATAATACATATCTGACAGAGTCAAGTTGCATAGTCTTGAGTGAAATAAATAAGTGCGAAAACAATAAAATTTTATGCTGCATCGACAATAATAAATGGCCCTCAGTAATGAAAATGACATGTATTTTTTAGCAGCATCAGATAAAAAAAATAGCAACTAATGTTAATAATTGAGTGCGATAAAATATGGCAGAAAATACTATTTTTTCGCACTATCCCGATTTCTACCAGTTTTTATCACTAGGAGCATGCAAAACTATAGCAAATGTAGTAATATTTTTTTTTGAGTGTATAACGGCTATATCCAAATTATTAAAGCTGATTTTGCAAACAATATGCACAAAATTTCAAGGCGGCATTAGTATATTATAGTAGCGCCCAATTTAATATACCTAATGTAAAATATTATAAAATAAATTTTCTTATTTAACTAAAAGATATATACTTAACAGTAATACTGATGCTACATAGTGTTAAGTTGCATATATATACCATATATAAATAAGAGCTAGGAATATTGTAACCGAAAAGAACAGGAAACAAAGAAAGACGTGACGATAGTTTATTGTATATGAGATCTTATTTTCAAAAAAAACGTACAAACAAACTCATATTGATAACATATACATGTTATGTATTATGAGTAAAAACTTTTAGCGAACGGAAATGTGTATTATATGAGGAGAGAAAGGAAGGGAAATTGTATACTTTCTTTTCCTTTCTCTATAAACCCTTATGCACTCTTTTATATTTATGAGAATTTTACATTTTCATGGAGAAATTTTTTTCTCAATTTTCATTATTATATTATGTATTTTGTTTTGTGATTTTGCCTTTCTTTTTTTTTCTCTCACCCTCACTTTTTTAATAATATTGACTTACGGTATCACGATTTGCATTAAAAATAATAACAGGTATGTACACATAAAATATTACTTATATTATTATACGATATTGAATAAGGGAGAAAAGGTGTTATTTAGTATGATTGTATTGAAATGTTAAAAGTTACATTTGACTGTCAAATAGTCACTGAACTTATAACAAAAAAAAAAAATTTGATTGTTAGAGTTACCAGATTTTTGTTTTTTTTTTCTCTCTAAATGACTATCATCAAATCATTCATTATTGAAGCATCAAGAATCGATAATTCAAAATCAACATAAAAACAAAGAAAAAAATGAAAATTTTCGATTGACTGGTGGTTTGCATGCTGTGAGAGTAGAAGAGAATGAGAAGAAAAAACAAAAACAAAATAAACTCTTCATTTCTTTTTGTTTTTTCTTTTTATATTTTGTGGAAAAGAAAATTGGAAATCTTTTCTCTTTTATTATTTTTCATTTTTATTAGTAAACATATAAGTGAAAAAAAAAGAATGGATTTTAGTATTTTGGATTTTTATTGAGCTTGTTGAAGATTGATTTTCTTTTTTTTTTTTTTTCTTATTCCTGAAAATATTAACGAACGTGATTGACGGCATAATATTTATGTACATATAATGCACGTATATGTTATTTGTTTATATTATAAAATTTCGAGTATACTTAAAAAGATTGCATTATATATATATAATGTATACAAAGTATGTGTATAAAAAACCTTCGTAACAAAAAGATATACATATATATATATATATATATATATATATATTTATAAAAACAATTCCAGATATATGTACATATATGTGAAAATAATATTATATCCTTCCTATCGAGGTCATTTGAATTCATATACATATATATATATATATACGTAAATGTACAAAGGTTTTTTAAGAATCATCTACTCTGTTTATATGTGCATGCATATTATATATATAATATATTTGTATGTAAATATATATGTACTTTAGTTATTATTATGGAATTGGAAAAATTTTTTATGAGAATTTGAAAAGAATATTTATATACATATAAATGTATATATAATATACATACACATATAAACGTACAAGAATTAACTTTAATCGATTTTCTTTCTTGATGAAAAAATGAAAGGGAATCAACGAAAAAACAAAAAAGGGTTTATTTCTGGTAAATTTAAAAATGATAAAGAACAAAAACTTGTATTGTACGCGTACATATACATTCAACAAAACTATTAAAGAAAAGTTGCTTTTCCCTATACACAAGCATTATAAATTAAAGAATATGTATAACTGTTTTTTTTTTCTTCAGTTTCGTATAAAAAAATTCACTTATTCCTTGTAATACTTTGGTGTACCTATATGGGAATGATATTTACATTCATATATATTGTATATGTATATTCATTTGTGCATGAAGGGATTTGTAATTACAAAAAAGGAAATATGAAAAAAAAAAAGAATTTAAAAAGAAATTTCAAAGATATTTGCACAAAATCCTGCTGTAAATTGTGTATGTAAAAATTCATAGATAATATCGACTTATTGAACGTATAAATTTTTGCATTTCATCAGTTCAAAGCGTATACGCATGTAGGTGCTTATAATTTTTGGTTTCTTTTTCTCTTCATTTGAAAATTTAATTTGCCACTTATTAAGCGTTGTTATGGATGACTTCTATATTTGCTCTTATCATTTTCAAATATCAATTGAAATTCATAGTTTTAGGTGGAAAAAATTTTATAAACGTAAATTTTTTCTGAAAAGTTAGTTGTATACGGAAGTTTCTTAAATTTATTCGATGCTAAAAACATTTCACCAGAGCGATGATCTAAAATATTTTCATTCCATTTTAAACCAAGAAATGTCATTATTTTAACATTATGAATATTAATGTAAATATTTCAAAAATATTGTTTTAATACGAATGTAACGTTAATGAAGAAAAATCAATTATTTCTTACTTTATAATCCGAAAATTTCATATTACCATTTTATTAACTTTCTTTGTAAATTAACTTTTCTTTGCTTTCAATGAAGTATAATTGACAAAAACAAGAATCAAAATTTGCTTATTTAAGCAAAATAATATTAGTTATGCATGCAATTATACATATATAAATTTCGTCAAATGAGAATTAGTTTGTGCCATACGACAATTTCATATTTTTGTGTTTAAAGGGAAAAGTCCTTTAATTTTTCAGAGATGAAGTTAATTTATTCATACAATTGCAACAAAATGGATGGTGTGTAATTAATAAAAGAAATCCCAAGGCAGAAAATTTAAAAAAACGTCTTCTCGGTTGAAGCTCTAACGAGATAGTTAATTGCAGAGAATGGTCCAACTAAAAGAAAACAAAAATTAGTAATAAAATCTAGATTAATCAATATTTTAATTGGATATTTTAGCTTGATTTTCTGAAAATGTAAAATTTGAGTGTATAACAAATCAGTTCCCAGTTCCCAATGATATGTAAAATATTTGTTTAATTTCTTAAGTCCTTATGTGTCTTTTATATAATATTTACATTTTGTCGTACTACACAATATTTTGTTGATAATAATTGTGTAACCTTAATTTTAAATGTACTTGGAAAATAATATTATCATATACTTAATATTTTACTTTATTTTATATTTAATGAAATTTATGTTCTAAAATGCATTTGCATATTCTATATTAATGTCCTCAATTGAATTCAAAACAAAATTATAATATATTAACATGAATTGTATCGTACTTATCATATTCATATAGGTGTATACATTACAAATACAAACGTATGTATGTATATAGGCGAGAATACAATATTATGCAAAATTTTGTTACGTTGTATACGAATTTGCCACAATGGAAAATAATTATTGTTAGTTTAGAATTAATTTAATTGTTCACTCAGTACAATGTTAAAGTTAATTAATTTTTATTTTATAATCCTTGGTAATGCGGAAATTAAATTTTTAATATTCTAAAAAAAATTTTTTCAAATCTAATTTAAAATTAATCGTTTGGTCATATAACAATTACTTTTGTTATATTTGATTTTATATGTATAAAATTTTAAAATGTTTATAGGTTAATAATTAAGTAGTATATGTACTAAATTTTTTGCGAGTATTTTTGAAAAATTTTCGTAAATTTGTAAAGAGATCAATTAAATACGGGATTCGATGTAAAATTCTAGCAAGTATTGTTTTTAAAAAAATTTATTGTTTAATAACTGTAATATATAATAGTTTTTGAACTGAATATATTTAGTAAATTCACGAGGTGCTATGAAAAAAAGACTGCGAAAACTTTTAAAGTTGCGATTTGCAGTAAAGAAAGTTTTTTGTCCATGACTAAGTTTAATTTATAGTTGTTGTTTAAACAAATAATGCTGCTTTTTTAAAAATAATTTTTTGGCAGTTCGTGAACTACTTATCCATCAAAAATTTGCAACTAAACTAGGAAAAATTTAATCAACACTCTTAGAAATGAGGAATTTCAAATAGTTTATGCTATTTGTTGGTTCAATATTAAATTGAATTTATAATTTTGATTTTATTTAAATAATTAAATTTCTTGAACTCCTAAACGATTTTAATATCAAAAATATTTTTGAAGGAAACAACAATTTTCAGTTTTTAATATAACAGATTTGCCTCTATAATTTGAAAATTTACAATAGTTTAAAAAAATATTAATTGTTTACCTTATTTAAAGATTTTAGAATTTTAAAAAAATATACAAAAAAAAATTTTTTATACCATATTATATTAAATTTACTTAATTAATTGTTTCTTATTTTGTATTTTCTCAAAAAATAAATTAGTTTTGGGCTGCATATGTTCCATGTGAAGCACAACATCGGGATGCAGTGCAATTAACCTTAGAACAAATTGATGTAATAAAACGTTTAACTGAACGTTACTCCGTATTGACGACTTGTACTTCAGCATCAGGTATGAAAAATATTTTAATTTTAGTTTTATTTTTGAATTCAAGTTTAGAGTTATTATTTGTACAATATTTACTGTAGTTAGAATATGTATGTATGGAAATTTTTGTTAAAAAGATCATCATGCATTTGGAAAAAAAACTTTGTTAAATATTTTAACAATTTTAATGTTTGTGAAACCAAAAATGTAAACTCACCAAGCAACTAAAATTTAATCTTGATAAAATATTTCAATTATATTGTATTTTTTAATACAAATTATGCTTCTAACAATGCGAACTTATATATTCCACTTGTGATATTGTCTTGTTGTGTGGCAAATAACGGATCTGTCTTAAGACTAAGAAGCAAATTATTAAACATGATTGTTTAATGCTAAGTTTATAAGTATTTTCGGGAATATTCAGACAAACTACATATTCAAAACCATTCAATAACTCTGTTGCGATTTAAATCGCTGTTTATAGTGGTGGTTTTGGCTATTTTTATGATTAATTCTAGACTTTCAGGACATCATTGGGTTTTATAGTAAATTTTAATTTTTCCAAAATAAAAATAAAATTGAATGTGCCATCAAAATACTCCTAAACTGATTTTGTAAGTGTTCAAGCGCCATATCTTCCTTTTCCTTACCTTATTCTGTTAAAAATTATTGACTCTTCGATTATGGAGAGCTATATTTTTATTTACAAAAAATTAAAAATTTATTTCTCAATTTTCACTTCTTTATTTTTGAATTATTTTAACACAAATGATGGATAAAAACAAATTTTAATAAATTTCATACCAAATATTTTACTTTTAATATTCACCATAAATATAATATTAAAAACTCATTTATATTCAAATAAGAAAAACAAAATTCTTAGTTCTTTATTGGAAATTAGAAAGCTAGCACATTTAATAATTAGGTAATCTGACAAAAATAAATTTTCTAAAGAAATAAAAATAACAAAAGAAAATTATAGGCTAATACAAAAAAAAAACCCAAAATTCATCAATAAAAAGAAAAGTAATGAAACATTCGAAAATCATTTTTGTTTTATTTTTCGCCCTTAAATCATCATAATTTTCATTTGTTACATAAATAAGTCTTAAAAAAATAATGCCATATAAATAAAATAACCTTAAGGGTGATGTAAAAATGAAGACAAAAAAAAAAATCTAAAAAACAAAATGTCTTTGCCTAAATTACAAGAATTGTTCTTATTCTTATTCTTCTTTTCTTACCCACTCTGGACATAACGTAGAATGGTTGCCTTTAACAGTTGAACTAATTTTTTATGAACTTTGTTTCTTTATTTAATTCTTTAAATGATTTTTATTTAAAAACCAACAAAAAGGAATAAGAGGGTGATGGGGGCAGGTGGTTTTCTTTAAATTCCTTGTAAATTTATTAAAAGTAATTTTTTTTTTTCTTTGTTACTTTTATAATATTTACTTGATTATTCGGACATAAAACTTTTTTTTGTTGATTTTTTTTTAAACAAAAGGAAAACATTTAATGGCTTTTCATTTATTCTTCCAAAAAAAAAAAAAAACAAAGCATAAAATTAAAAAAAAATTGAGTGTTTTTTTTTTTGTTTTATGGAAATGGGAAAGCATCACAGAGATGAAGAGAAAATGTATTAAGTGAATTTCTCTCACCCTCTCTCTCTCTCTCATAGTTCAATCTAATATTATTTACATAAAACGTTATACATACAAAACTATAGTATTATTAAAAAAGAAAGTAGGTGAAGGGGATAAGGTAGAGTGCCCTTCAGAATAAAATAGAAAGTAGAAAATCGTGAAATAAAAATCACATAAATTTATAAAAAAAAAAATGAGAACAAAAAGGAAAAAAATGATTATTATAAATATAGATTTTATTTTTTTTTATTTTATTTTCATTTCTTTGGAAAATTTTATCTTTATTCTGTTCAATCAAAGTAAATTATTCTTATATTTTTAACAAATTTTTCATTCTTCACTCACCATTACTCCTTACACCGCTAACACCCGCGCATTTTTTTTTTTTTTTCTTTTTACGCCATCAAAGTTGAAGGATATCTCATTTTCTCTTTCTATTTTTTATGTGTGTTTGTTTTAATATTTTGCTTTTTGTTTTTCTTTTACTTTGATATTTTTTCTATATTATGTTTCAAATTTTATAACAAATTTTCATCATCAGTTTTGAGAAAATGAAGAAAAATTTAAAATTTTTTCGTTGTTATATTGCAAAAAAAAAAAAAAAATGCGAAAATACTATAAGAAAATTTTATAAACATAAAAAAAGAAAATAATAATAAATTCTTGAAATTATTTGAAGTATGTATGACGATAAAATGAATGAAAAAAAAAAAAGTGTATGCCAACCGTAAAAATGTTAAGAAAAGACAGAAGAGAAATCAAAAAATTTTATGCAATCTATGTATCGGTACATATTTATAGTATGTAAGTATAATTGTAGTAACGACAAGCAAATCCTTTTGAATGGTACTCTAAGGATGCCTAAAATAAGTATGAAAAACAGAAAATAAAAAGCTAGAAATAAAATATTTTTATTATAACATTGTTATTAAATGATAGATGAAATGGTATTCGGAATTATTCCATAAGGAATTATTATACGTTCATTCGGTATTAAGTTATAATTTTTTTGTTTGTTTTTAAATTATAATTTTTTCACATTTTATAATGAAATTTTTTTTTTGGAAAAAGTCAAAAGAAGAAAAAATTAAACAAAGATTTTTGACATTTTAATTTTTTTAAATTTATTTATACCCTATTTAGAAAGCATGACATTTCTTGGCTCACTCTTATATTTGAATTATGAATTTTAGTTTTTTATTATTACAATTTATTTATTGTAATAAATAAAATGTAGATATAATATTAATTTCTATTTCTACCTTTAGAATCAGAACGTTTTAATTGTTAGATTTCATTTGTGAATTAATTTTTGGGACCTTTTCCTGTTGGATAGATAAATCTGGTCATTCTTAGACCAGATCACTGCAGTTGTAAAGACTTGGTATAACATCGCACTAAGACGAGAGCTGGAGTTATAGTCTTCACTTAATTGCAGATTCGCCCAAGAATCACATTCAAGAGTCCAAGGGGTCCACCACATACCTCATTAATTGAACGAGTCGCCTCATGGTGAATGTTTCAGAGAAACCGATCATATGCTCAGGCTCTGATCTTCATCATGGAAAATCTACACAAAACGTTTCCAGATTATCCCAGTTTGTATAAATAATAACCCTAACCTCCCTCTTATTAGATGTGTTGGCGCTTCGCTTGCCTCATTTCCGACGCCAGATCCCAATACACCTCCCGTCGGCGCCCAATTCGTTTCGGTCCACACGCCTTAATATTACAACTCGACAGACCCTAATATTACCACATGCCCCTCTTGCGTAATCTAACGAAAATCCTCTGCAGTTGGAGCTCTTGTTACTTAAAAGAGAAGTGTGTATTCTCTAATTCATTATTTCATATGTGTTAACAATTAAAAAATTTTTGAAAATACCACTAATTTAAGTGTATCATTTTTTTTTTCAACCAAAAAAATAGAACAAAAATCACCTTAAAAATCCCTCTTTTTTCTGAATTTTTTTTTTTGCAAAATGAAGAAAATTGGTTGGATTTACTGTTAATGTTCTCTATATTATTACTCGCGTTTCTCTCATACGGTGGGATACGCTTCGAGAATTACCTTTATGAAGACTGATAAAATTGATAAAATTAATAATTTTATGCAATATTTTTTCGTACAGTTTTAGTATGAAATTATTCATGTAAAATTTATTTTACTCCTATTTAATTTTCAATCACCTTAATATATTATTTATTTGGTCGCATAATTTTATGTGACCAAATAAATAACTATACTTTTAAATCTGTCGAAACTAAACTCAAAAATTTTTAGCTTATAATGTTCAAAAGCTCAATTATAAAATTTATTTAAGTATTTAATATGAGATAAAATTAAATATTTTAGAAATATTTTTTTCAGCATAAAAATTTTAAAAAATATTTTTAATTTATAAAAATAATTTTTTCAAAATTTTTATACTCTTCTTCTTTTATAATGAAATATTCAATATTAATAAATAAATATAATAGAGACGATCTAAAATCCCTGTGGTTAAATTCATGACCAATAACAATACAAATACTTCAGGATAATATTTTTTTTTTCTTCTTCTCTTTTATTTTTTTCTCAAAAATAAAGTAATCGTGTTGCTATTCACATATGTGTAAACTTCAATTTTTAAAGAGGAAAAAACCAAAAAAAAAACAAAAAATAAAACATAAAATATTTTGTATAGAAAAAGGGTTGAAAAGAAAATCAATTGAATGAAAATAACTGCATAAATATTATATACGAAAGTATATAGAAAGGAATTTTCATGAAAAATTATAGTAACAGCTTTTTGAGGTTGGTTTTTCTTTTTTCATTTTAACCAAAACTATATAAAATTAATAGGAAACTCATTTTCACCGGATACAGATATGAATTTCACATAATATATCGATATGCAATTATATATATATATATATATATATATATATATATATATATATATATATATATATATATATATATATATATATATATATATAATATATATTACATATTATATATATATATTACATGTATTACATGTAGTAAGGAAGAACCTACATTATTACAAATACATACTCGTAAATATACGTATTTGGTACGAAAGTAGTATAGCCTATTTAATACGTGTATGTTTGTTTTGAAAATGACATAACAATCAAGTATATACAGTAAGTACATATATCGGTAAATGCTTAAAGCAAATATAAATTTGGTAAAGAACTCCATTTAAATGTACACTTTATAACTCTTATCAACTATGAATTTGTGTAATATGAGAATTTATTAAAGCAAGTACGTTATTACAATGAATTTTTAAAATTGAAAAATAAAGAATGCAATTCAATTTTTTTTTCTCAAATTTTAAATTCACACAATTAACCTCTTCT